CCCCCCCCAACCATAAAATTATTTTTGTTGCTACTTTATTATAACTAATTTTGCTACTGTTATGAATCAGGTGACCCCTGTGAAAGGGTTGTTCGACCCCCAAAGGGGTCACAACCCACAGGTTGAGAACCACAGGTTTAAACCATCACTCCAAGACTCAAAGGACACACAAGGGGGCAATCTGGAGAGGCAGCAGGCAAAAGTTCACTAATTTATTATAGAAAGAATCCAGAGAAATCATCCTGATTAGTCCCTTACCTCAAGGAAGGATCCTACTTAACCATAAAGGAGACTGCCCTGCTTATGAAGAAGCTCGGCCTTGCTTTCACGCCTCCCAATCCTCACTGACTGAGCGAACTCCAGGATCCTGAGTCACCACAGCGGGACTGCACCCGTCATCTTACATCATGCTGTCTACCCTAACTCTACTTGCTGCAATTTTAAGCTGACTTTTTATAGGCGCCTGCCAGTAATATCGTTAACAGGTCACCCTGCCTGAGTTAGAACTAACAGACTTGCGTTATAGTTCTCTCCTCTGCTCTGGGTTAAATGCCAACTCCTTTCGCCTTGCCTCATATATCTACACTGTGAAACTCTTCACATGCAGCTCCTAGCCTTTTGGCTTCATGATCTAGAAATAGAGGCCTTTGGTCAGAGAATGGCCAAATTCTCTGAGAGGCAAAATGGGGTTGTAACTCTGTTTGGAGAACAAGGTGATCCAGCTCTGGTCAGACAACTCAGGGCGGTGAGAGTCTGACACCTGTCGGCATCACCGCAGTGTCTGGAGCATGCCTGGGAAGGGGTTGCAGATGCAGGGCGGGCGGCAGGCTAACCTTCTGGGCTTGGACAGGTTCAGTGAGGACAAGCGTGAAGAGGCCCAGGCAGATCTCCTCAGGCTGCGGGGGACCTTTGCCTACCTGGGACGGGAGGAGGAAGGACAAAGCAGTTCACTCACGGGGAGAAAAGTTCAAGCCCACTTGGGCATCCTAGTCACCCAGCAAAGGGGAATTCTAAACGTGATGAGACATCTGTTTTAGGAATGAGCTGGAGGGCAGAGGCAGGGAGTAAAAAGAGACTTTGAAATAAAACACTACTAAATAAAAAACCCACTTCGCCCCCTTCACCAGGCAGCGACAGTCTGCAGCAGAGAGTGATGCAAAGACATCTGACTCAAGTCAGAGCCCAAGGCCCCGCTGTCCTGACTGTCAGCAGCTAGGCTAGGATCTTGTGTAAATCACAGAACCTCTGAAATTTGTACAACCAATTTAAGAAAAACAATACAGCCCTGTATCCTTAACGTCCACGAAAGGTCCTGTCAAGCAGACCGTCGTGTGACCTTGATGCTGTGCAAACACCATATTATATGTAGGCAGTCCCTGGACTACAGATGACCCCCAGACCCCATTGTCTTTACAAGGGGTGTCAGACCAGTTAGGTACAGTTTGTCTCTAGTGTCAGGCATATGTTTGCCATATTATATGAGGGGGCTTCAAAAAGTGTATGAAGAAATGGAAGAAAAGGATAATGGAGTTTTTCTACTACTTAAAGTCTCCTCCTATTATAATAGCATGCATTTTCTACTTTTACAAAACTTTAAACAAACGTGTTAATATACTTTGGTATAACTTAATATAATAATTATGTTTTGATACCTGTCACAAAATAGCACCTGTTTCCTATGAATCATTTTATGTACCTTGGATGTTGAATGTAACAGGCTCTATGGGGGCTGGAT